CTTGACAGTCTTACTTTGATCGTTAGGTAACCAGATCCCAGCAGCCTAAATCTTCAGTGAGCCCTAGGAAAGAATCTAATGTCTGTTGGGATGTGCACTTACCTGTCCTTTTTTGTAAAGGGGAATGCTGATAATTGCCTTTTCGGATGTCTTGAGGATAAAACGGCCTGCCCGTGAAACATGCCTGGTAGAGACAGACGTGAGGTAAATGGTTATTATTAATTATCATTACATCAGTACTTACAGTTTTCCAGGTTGGAAAAGACACGGCAGCTCCAAAAAGGACAGGCCAAACAGGAATAAGACAAATAAGACCCGTAAAGGTATTCTTTGTATACATTTTGCATAATTTACTTCATTTGGAAATTCCAAATGTGACAACCTTGTCCCTATCTCCTGTTCCCAGCTCTAGGATTTCTATAATTTGCTTTTATGTTTATGGGCAGTGGCTGTCCACCCTCCTAGAATATGAGATCTTGAAGGGCAGGGTTCTTTGTTTAGTTTTAGGATGTATCCCAAAGGTAGAACTAAGGTTAACTACCTAGTAGGTAATAAATATTTGATTCATCAAATGAATGTAAGTTGTTTTTGTCTGGTGATGGGATATGATACTTGAGATGGAGTGTATGGGAGAAGGAGAAAAAGACTGTCTACTCACCCTTCACTCGCCCTAGAATGAAAAATCCAGGAAAATGGCATGAAAAATGGAAAAGACTTTAGAGATGTAGTCTATATGGTGTCTTGTTTGTGATATTTTAATTGATTATATAAAATACAGTTTCACATATTTTGATCCCAAATCCTCAACAACAAAAACAATTATTAAGCACTCAGAACGTACATGCACTTTGTCCTGGATGCCCCGAGGTGCATGTGTGTTTGTGTGTGTATACAGGATGTCCACCAAATTTGTGTGCAATTTTAAATTGCAAAAGAACTTTATGGACACCCTGTATAAGTTATTGCCTACAAGACTTAGCAAATATGAACAAAATCTTTATGCCCACCCCTACTATTTGTGATCGTTGCTGTTATTTCTCCCAGTCTGGAATACCTTCACTGGCCTCCCCTAGATTACATCTTTTTTGGCCTTTAAAAGTTCTCTATGCTCCCATGATTTGGTCAGCAACACAACTCACCCTACTTTCAATTGGTATGTGCTACAGTTTTACTGGGAAGTAGACACAACCCATAGATCAATAGTGATATGTGTTGTGTATTGTCCATGGGGGAAAAAAGAGGCATACTATGGAAAGACTGAATGAAGAGGTGATACCAGGACAGGGGTGAGTTTCATATGAAAAGGGGTTAATCAGAGAATGGGAGAAAGAGGAAAAGGAAAGAAATGAGAATTCTTTAAAAAGCAACTCAAAGGAGCTAGCCTGTTCCCATGTAAAAATTGCAACCTCCTTGGACATTAAAAGCCATCACATAACCTTCCAGGTCTGTGCTAAGTACTTCTGCTCCATTTATGTGTCTTACTGCATGTCTCAAGTGGGGATGAGAGTAAATTTGAGTGTAATAATGGGCCAGGGAAGGCCAAATTGCTCTGTGTGAACAGAGATAAGAGAGACTTTCAGAGAGGAAGAAGGAACCAGATGAAGGGAGGTGGGAACCGGCTGCTGGCAGAGGGTTCACTACAAAGCAGAGCTCAAGTTTCCATTATGAAGTTATCTATCATTGGAATTATTTTAGAAATACGGTCCAGGACAGACAATTAAAAAAGTGTCAAATTCAGTCAGGAAAAAAACAGATCAGTAGAATCCAAACAAATAGTAAAGCAACCAGATTGTCTGTTAGTCAAAACAAAATGATGTAATTTAAATCCAAAAGGTGATTGGGAAACTACTCCTTTTAAAGATTAGAGAATTGAAATTTCTATTGCCACAGCAACAACTTTGAAAGGAGAGAACAGTATGTAGAGACTCAGAAAAGTCCCTGAACATGAGCAAATATTTCATGTCCCAGG